GCCCATCTGGACGAATGACAGAACACAGAAAATGCTTTAAATAAAAACCTACTTGAAGAAACAAAAGATAAGTCATGGTGATCCATGACCGCCAAAATATTATAAGGAAACTTTAGCTGTATGTAAATATTTACTGATAGATAGATAGATAGATAGATAGATAGATAGATAGATAGATAACAAAAGACTGATTAATAGATAGATAGATAGATAGATAGATAGATAGATAGATAACAAAGGACTGATTAATAGATAGATAGATAGATAACAAAAGACTGATTAATAGATAGATAGATAACAAAGGACTGATAGATAGATAACAAAGGACTGATAGATAGATAGATAGATAGATAGATAGATAGATAACAAAAGACTGATTAATAGATAGATAGATAGATAGATAGATAGATAACAAAGGACTGATTTATAGATAGATAGATAACAAAGGACTGATAGATAGATAGATAGATAGATAGATAGATAGATAGATAGATAATAAAAAGGTTACTGGACTGATAGATAGATAGATAGATAGATAGATAGATAGATAGATAGATATAACAAAAACACTGATAGATAGATAGATAGATAGATAGATATAAGAAAATATTATATTTTAATAGATAGATAGATAGATAGATAACAAAGGACTGATTTATAGATAGATACATAGATAGATAGATAGATAGATAGATAGATAACAAAGGACTGATAGATAGATAGATAGATAGATAGATAGATAACAAACGAAACATAATCTATCTTTGTTCGCCTTGATTTGAGCATGCCAGAGACGTTCACCCTGGAAAGCGTTGCATCTCTCCAAAATAAAGCGTCGCCACTCCGTACGATTTAAATGTCAGTTCTTCCCAACGCTGAACATCCATGTGCAATACATTCCGGTCATACTTCACATTATCGTTAAATCTCTTCCTGTGCTTGCGCTGTGGACGCTTTTCTCTCTTCACTTCACCGTAGAAAATTTGTTTGCAAATCCTGCTTTCTTCCATTCTCACAATGTGCCCCGCCCATGGCATCTGGTTAAAGAGTATTATTGTTCTAGTGCTTTCAGTTTTTTGGTGTACCACAGTGTCTAGACTCAAGAGGTTGCCATTTCATGTTAAGAATGCGTCTCAGATATTTTGGGCGGAATCCCTCAAGGCATTTTATATGATTCCGATATATTTTTCATGTTTCAATAGGATGCAGCAGGGATGTTAATACATAGGTTATATGCACACTTACTTTAGTCTTCTTGGTAATGACGCTATCTGATCAACATTTGCCTTTTGAATGCATAAAAGAAATCTCAGCATCCAAGGTACCACCCTTGGATAAAGTACTTCCAATATATCGGAAAGTGTCAATAATTTACAGTCTGATATTTTTTACATGTTTTCTTGTCTTTGTAGTGCACGTCAGCAGGCAGGAGCAACATTCTTTTCTCGCCCTCTGGTTAATCTTCAGTCCAAATGCGTCGCAAGCAGAATAGAAGTGTTCCATTATGATATGCAAATATTTCTCAGAATGCACTAAAAGTCTACATCAACATACAGCAAAACTCAGAACAGGCACTCACCGTTCTTGTGACTAGCTTTTGTTTTGTTTGTTTTGTTTTGTTTTACGGTATATCATCCTCAATGTGTTATTTAATGCTGACAAGATTTTTATTGCTAGTAATATTTTTGTTCAAAAATATATTGCTGGTAGTAATGCATTCCTGACAATTGCGGTTTGACTTCAGTAAATTCTTTTCTTCCCTTGAAGCATTGATAGATATCGAATGATTAAAATGTGGGTGTGTTGTAAATTTCACTGTCGTTAGAATTTTAATGGAAACGGATGGCAGTGTCGTCCAGGCTGCCTAGCACAAACTGAGTTTGTGCATTTGTAAGTATAACAGTCTCAATTGGACTTTGATTAATTAGGCAACCACCCAAAAACAAAAAAAAACTTCCTATGGCATATCAATCTCAATGTGTTAATTAATGCCGACAAGACGTTCATTGCTGGTAATATTTTTTCCCAAAAATGTATTGCTAGTAATATTTCTTTCCTTCAAAAATATATTGCTGGTAATATTTTTTTCCTTCAAAAATGTATTGCTGGTAAGAATTCTTTCCTTCAAAAATGTATTGACTACAATATTTTTTTCCTAAAAATGTATTGCTGGTAATATTTGTTTCCTTTAAAAATGTATTGCTGGTAATAATTCTTTCCTTCAAAAATGTATTGCTGATATTATTTCTTTCCTTCAAAAATGTATTGATTGTAATATTTTCCCCAAAAATATATTTCTGGTAATAATGTATTGTTGGCAGTAGTATTTTTCTTCATTTTATATAATTGTTCACGCGATGCAATTCTTTGGTAAAAAGGCTTGTCTTACATTCTGGGTGATTTGTGTTTTCACAAAGCAGAACAGTTTTTACATTACAACAACCAATGTAGATAGATAGATAGATAGATAGATAAATAGATAGATAGATAGATATGAACACTTATAGATGTTATATTAACATTTTAAACAAAATCATAATGGGAAAGTCGATCGTCTTTATGAGAAAAAAATGATTCCGAAAAATATGATGAGTGTATGGAATATAATAACGCCTGTGTCATTTGTTGTTTCACTTTATTTTATTTTATTTTTTTTACACGGCGTTAACGATCGGACATGGCTATTTTATCACGGAAGTGAAATTACTTTTCACACCGGGCCATCCATATATACATCCAGTTTTAACAAACCTCAAGGACTCTTCGCTTACACCAAGGGGAAAGTAGGACTTGCAAATTATCCCCAGCGTCGGTTGACAATTACATCTATAAAATAAATGTATGTTTGTATGTATATAGGAAGACAGATATTACCAGCTTTATAGTATCCATTCATAATCAGTGCGTACATGTTGGAAAGAAATATTCGAAGGTTGATCATAACTTATAGTCCGACATGAATTTGTGATCTCAATTTTTTAGTTGTCACTTTTATTGTATATTGTTGGAGCATGACAGTAATGGTCACCATTAAATCAAGTGCATTGACAAAGAAGTTGCTATGATTTTTAACAATTCAGCCAAGAATTTATCGATATACATGTGTTTGTATATATATATATATATATATATATATATATATATATATAAAAAGAAGAGGGGTGCCGCAAACGTTTTTGGTTGTAATGTGGATTTATTGAAAAAAATTATACTTTGTTTTATTTAATTTCAACACGTGTTTCTGGTCTGGTCTCTTAACCGTCTTCAGGTGAAAGTGGAGATTTTACATATTATTAAAAATAATTAATTTTTCTTCATGTTCAATGTGGAATATTCTCGATATGAGACATTCTGTTTTTTTATTATCTTTTTTTAATATACATACTTTTCTCTCACATGGAACCACTACAACATATTTCTTTTATATATATATATATATATATATATATATATATATATATATAATTATTTATTTAAAAATTATAACATAAATATGTTATACTTGGATATATATATGTATATATAAACATATATATATATATATATATATATATATATATATATATATGTATATTGTGGATGTCCCCAAATATTGTAAACGACAGGCCTGCCTACGAAACTCTGTAATCTGAATGAACAAGTAAAAGTATCATCAATCAGCTAACAAAACTTTTATTCATAATAATATATATATATATATATACATACATATATATATATATATATATATATTGTTACATCTATATATTTCAATATACATTTTATATATCAAAATTTTATATATATATATATATATATATATATATATATATATATATATATATATATATATATATATATATATATATATATATATATATATATATATATATATTGTTATATAGTGCCTGAACACCATACCAAGCCTTAATTAAGTGAAACTGGATATACGGAACCCACGTGGCTTCCGTAGATCCAATTCCGTCGATAGCTAACACGAAGTCACAAGTCATCGTGGCGGAGAGCTAGAGCGTGCTGGCCTTATTCAAATTGTTGATCACGCTAGATAACACGCTCTTTCTCAGAAACTGTAAGTAAGGACTGCTCAGCATAGTAGCAGTATAAACCACAGGTGGGCTATGTGGTTGTATAAACAAAAATGCGCCTGAGCAAACGTCTGCTATAGGGATTGACTAGCCGCCGTAGTAGACAGGTATCCTCGAATACAGTTATACATATATATGAGGAATGTTGACGTGTTTTTCCTTTTATTCTTTGTCATACTTTTTTTTCACCTCATAATATTCTCGATATATAAATATATATAATATCAATATCATCTCTCTCTGATTATCACACACACACACACACACACACACACACATACATACACATATATATATATATATATATATATATATATATATTTATATATATATATACAGAGAGGCAAAGAGAGATAGATAGATACAAAAAATTTATTTTCCTTTCAGCCTTTAATTTATAAAGGGTTTTTTTAAAAATAAATTGATCATTATTATAACACAATATACAAAACGTTAAATCATGGGGTTAATAATTAGTATTGCTGTCTTTGGCTGGAATAAGTGCATCGCTTTTAAAGGAACAACGTCCGGGTTTTCTCATTCAGATTATTTTCATTTTTGACATTCCTTTTGTCAGTAATCCCAAACCTACAGGAGATTGCGTGATTTTCGTCGGAGCACTTGATTCTTCAGTTCTCAATTATATTGGGATCAGAGCTTTGACAAACCAGTCTTACAAAAGTTAAACATCTTCATCTACAACAAAACGTTGTGTTACACGTGATGTGTGGCAAGGAACACAGCCATGCTAGGATTTCTCAATCTTCGTAATCTGACCGATAATTAGACAGTGATAAATTAATATAGTTTTCGCTCTTTAGGATTCCATCAGCTTTTACCAATTTTCTTCTGCCATCCCCTTTGATGGAATCCGACCCCATTACGTGCCCACCGCCAAATACTATCGTATTTGTTGTGTATTTTGCTTTGTTTCTTGCTTTCTTATTTTTGGTTCATGATGTTCTTTGCTGCTATACGTTCAAGTTGTTTTTTTACGTAATACTCTCAGTTTAATATTAATACTTTTATTAACTAAAACCTTAATGTTACGACTACATTCATTTCTCACTTGTCTGGCAGTTATTTTTGCCTGCCAAAGCCTCACGATCTTTCATCACTCTTGTCTAATTTTCGCGGGCTTCCGATTTACTTCGAACTTAAAACATTTATGGAAATTGCCAGTCTCTCGTTAAGTTATCTTTCCCTTCAAATCACAATTTTCATTTTTGCTTCAGCAGAGACTGTAGCCATGAATTTAGTGTAAAAAGCAACCTAATTTTCAGCTACAACTTGCCAAGACACCTTTTACTCATATTGATAAGATGGAACAAATTCTACTTAGAAATTTGCATATGATTATGACTTTATCATCTCAGATCTTCCGTTGGACTACCGTAATTTCCCATGTATAATATGCATTTTTTTTGTCAAAAAATATATAAATAAAAATTATAAATATATATGGACATAGCTACAAAAAATCTTTAAAAAATTGTCGTTTTTTAGTTTGATTTCTGTTGAGAAATGACTTACTCACCACAAACATACGACAATTTGACACTAATATTGGGCGATTGCGACCCCATAAGGATGTCAAATACAATCACATGTACCTAACAATACTTATAAATGTAAAATAAAATAAGAATTATCATAAAACTAAATTAGCATAATATTATTCTATGTTTAAAACCATTTTTTTTTTTGTGAAAAACTACATACAGATCCGGTAGATTGCATATTTTATTAAACAAAAACAGGTTAATGAGTCTGCGCAGTAGGCATAATATAGTTATTTCCGTTTCCTTTTAGAACTGTGCTGATCGGAAATTTTGATAAATATCTTCACCCACAGCTTGGATAAGAGTAGGAAATCTGGCCGTAATGAAATTGGAATGGTACAATTTATATGGTTTGATTTCCAGGGTACATATTATGTGTGAGTAGAAGCATTTTCCCACACTTTCAGCACAATTTTAGGTGTGCGTATTATAGATGAATGCGTATTATACATTGGGAATTTCGGTAATAGTTTAGCATGGCCTTTATTCTGCCTCAAGCTGCTTAAAGTATCGTATCCTCTAGTACACGGCTGATACAACAGTGTAACAACTTATTTTTTAGTCATCAAGATCCACAGACGTTACTAATAAAGCACACTTGTAAACAATCTTAACTTCTATATAAATAAGTGCGAATGTCAGTTTGTCAGTGTGTCACACTTTTTCAACTTTCTTCCTAGAGGCCATAGCCAAACATATCCATACTATTTTGGAATCAGGTTGACTCCGTGAGCAAATTAAAAACATTCCGGTTCGGATCCGAACCCGCAATCCTGATATTTTGGATTCCTAAGTTTCCATTACTGCGAATGTTTTCAGCGATTTTTTTTTTTTACTTGTTTTCTTCCGGCGTCTTTTTTTATTTATTTTTTTATTTTTTCTTACAATGACAATTTTTATAACTTGGAAATAAATTTTGGAAATGACTGAAATTAATTGAGAAAGTCACCCATGAAAAAATAATTGTTTGTACGTAAAGTAAGGACCTACGTAACTCGAATTAGCTTTAAATTAAGTGGCGGCAGAAGAATTATAGTTGAACTTTTACAAGGCAAGCTTAAATATTAATACAAAACTTAAATGCAGCAATCAATTATAAGTTCTTCTGTAGTTTACTGTTGCCTATCGCATACTGTAGCAGTATGCCTTTTATAAAAAAAATTCTACCAAAAAACACCAGACTTTAATCAAAAGAGCCAAGGCTTATACGATAAAAAGTCCTTAAATTAAATTCAAACCAGATCAAACGGCAATAAGGAGAGATTCCAATGCTGATAATATAAAAACGTACGGAATCACAAACTCCTGATCAAGCCGAAGATCTAAACAAGAGCCCTTCAATGAGTTAATTAAATAATGATTTCCGATAAGGCGGCGTTTAATGGTATAATAATAAAAATGTATAATCATTTTATGTAAAATTCACTCAGATCCTTTATTGCCAGTGTAGATACACATTCAGACAACACACACACACACACCTTTATTTTATATATATATATATATATATATATATATATATATATATATATATATAATTATTTATTTAAAAAATATGATTCCAAATCGCTACATAAGAGGTCTCATGTTTCAAAACAAGAGCCGAAAACTTCAATATAATCCTTTAAATTAAATTGAGTTGAAAGTAAAATGGGCTCCGTTCCATCTTCAAGCGAAATTTTTGTTGGAATAACGTATATCTGAAATTTACTTGTTTTAAAATTGAAATCAAAATCCCCCATGGTAACAGCTATGGTGAATTGTCTAAATTGGGTAGGCGAGTGTAGGGTGTTTATAATAAGTAGCAGTATAGAGATACTTTCAAGGTGTCAAGTCAGGGAATGGTGGGGTGT